ATTATGATGGTAGAATTGGAGTTAAAAGAATGCAGTCAAAACCCTAAACTGTTTTCAAAAATTATAATCACAGAACAGAATACACCCACAGCCACCAAAATACAGGCAAATGATATTATTCATGAAACCAGATATATCCACTAATTTCTCATTCGACAAACCTCATGGCTTAGGACAAAGTAGCATCTATATGTTTCCACGCAGCATATAAATTACCTTAATCAGTCTACCACATGCTGTCAAATACTTTAACTTTGCTGACAAGAGCCTCTTAAAGTCAGGAGGTGCCCAATATTGCTCCTATAAAATAAGAAAAATGATAAGTCAGCAAATTATGCCAACAAACTCTAAGTGAGCACATATTTCCAGACACATAGCAATGCTAAAGCCACATCAGGAAGACCAACAACTTGTAGATAATATTTTTATTCACATTGTCCTGATGCACTAAACAAGGCGGGTGCTTTCATCAATGAATTATGAGATGGAACATCAGATAAATCTATTTCCAAGTAAGCAAACTAAATTGATGAAATTATGATTTTGGCATGTCAAGTGTTATCAAATTTCGGGTGTCATGCAAACTTGCAGGGTATCATGGTGAAATTAAATAAGGCTAGCAATGCCCTAAACAAAGAGACAGAGAGAGCAGATTGACATGAAGAATTAAATGGTTACTTTGTAATTTCAATTCACCAGCCTTCAAATTCAAATTGTAAATATAACACATACAAAGAAAAAAATTTGGTTGACACAAGTCCTTAACAGCTGTTTCTTCTTCTCTTCTTTGCCACTGTTGGGAAAGAACCGCAATAGCAATTAAAGAAGGATTTAAAAAGGTCTCCAATAAGCACAAAACTACTATAAATTATTTGAAAGATATCAATCACTCATGTGCCATGTTTAAGTTCTTATATCTACAAATCTGATCTACTCCTCTTTCTCTGTTTATTACAGATCTCTAATGCAATCTTTTCCTTAGAATAGAAAAAAGAATAACTATGAATACTGCATATAAAACAATACCTCTATATATGCAGCAATAGTTGTCTTATTGGAACCACCAGGCTCCTTCAAGGTTGTAATCGCTTCCATAATGAGGTTATCTAACCTACAGCAATGAAAAAAACATAACAACATCAAGTGAGATCATACAATATGAAATACATCAAAAAAACTTATGAACAATGTCTAACCTCACAATGGATCTCTTTGTTGAAGTTGGAATCTGCACCGTAGTGCTGGGAACTGATATGGGCTTAGCATCTGCAATTTCTTCATCACTTGGAACAACAGTGAGGGCCATAGCACCATCCTCCTGTTTAAGAATGCTAGGTGTCCTCTTTACGGCCAACCTAGCTTTGTCCCGAGAACCCCACCCATTTGCCATCACACTCATATTTCTCCATTTATCCTGCCCAAGAATACAACAAAAAAAAAATGGAATGGGCAGCACATTACATCAAGACAAGGATGAAAAGAGAGGCTTCTATATCAGCACCATTTGCACAAGAGGCAAAGGAACAAACCTTGAGATCTACGTTGGAACGTAGATACAAGACACCACTGAATTCAGGGTCTTTCAATATCGTTCGCCATTTTCCAGCACCATGTTTGATGACTCCAGCTTTTAATGCTGCCTCTTCTTCAGCTGTCCATTTCTGCTTAGGAGCACCCATTTAAAGTAATACAGAGGAAAAAAGCCTTCGAGCTTCCGAATCTGCAAAACTCAATTCCAGCCATATTGGCAGACAAGATTAAAAGAAATGTGACTTCAAGCATTGAACTCTCACAAAATTAATATTGATACAATCATCATCAATTGTTCTTATAAATAAACATATAAAGCCAAATTCCAAATCAAGAATGGCGTGCATAACTAATCCCTAATACCTGATTTCAAGAAATGACCATCATGATTAAATCAAAAAATATGAAATCAAAATCACTTCAATAAAACAAAAAAACTTCGCTCATCGATTGACAAAGCCAAAAAAAACCCCTAATTTCACTCATTGACTGCGTTTCTAAAAATTAATAATAGCATACAGTCAAATGGGCAAATAAAGCAAATTTACACAAAATTAAGGGTATTGGAAATATTCGAAAATTCAACAAAGGGAAACACATATTAACATTAAAAAAAAAACAAAATCAAAGATAAAAGGAGATGAAATTACCAGATGTGCTGAAATATCGTAGACAAAGAGAGGGAAAAAAGGATTAATTTCTTATTTCACGTTATATAGTGTTTTGCACTATTTTTGGGTGATTCGATCGGAAGTCGAAGGCTTGTTGCTTTTAATAAAAAATATTAAAGGAAGAAGTAAATTCCGTTTTTCGATTATGGAGGTGCTATGCTACAGGAGATTACATGGAGGTTCTACCGGACGCTATGATTTACTGGCTCAAAAAATTTGCTAGGGTTTCTCTTTTTCCATTTTATTTTATTTTAATTAGGGTTCACTCGTGTCACGTGTGGAGTTCGCTGAGATCCCTTACTGGATCTGAGATGGACACGTGTCCGAAGAGCCGATTTTGGTGGATTTGGAATTTTGACCCGCTTACAAGAACAAGAAGACTGTAAATATTATGGAGATGAAGTAAAAGACAAAGGATCTTGTTTTTTTAATAAGTTTTTTTGAATAATTTTAAGAAAGAAATTGCTGAAATTTCAGAGTTCCATTTTATGTTGTGATTAATGTGAAGAACAGGACACGGTGTGAAGATCTATATTTCAAGTAAAATTTGAGTAAGGTCAAAAGAGAAAAGAGTTTTCGTCACTCCAAGTATGTGCAAAATTTTCAAACTTGATTTTGAATAGAGAAATTTTCCTTTTTATATTGATAAATGCTTGAACAATTGATTAGAACATTTGATTTTTTTATCACATTACCCAAGTGTTATTTGTATTAAAATTATATTATTCAATATTTGATATTAAATGCTAGATAAATTGAATGTCCGTAGTTATTAAATAAAATGACATCGAAACGTTATTTGAAAATTATATTTTTATTACTAATTTAATTATTAAATTACTTTTTCAAATTATTAGTCCAAAAAATAGTAAAAAATATATTTATATTATTGTCACTCACTCGAGTATTTGATTCATTGACTGGTATATAATTTTCAAAGTTTGAATCTTCCCTCCCTAATTATAAAAAAAAAAAAACTTATATTGTTGCCACTTTATTATTTTACAAGAATTTAACTAAAATCATTATCTATATACAAAATATTTGATTATTATTCATTAAATGGTGCAATTTTAGCATAATTTTTAATAAAAATATTTATTGAAATAAAATACCAAAACTTATATACTAAATTTATGTAACAAAAATTTTCAATTTAATCGGTTTAGATTTTTTATTTTAATTTTATTATTATGAAATAAATTTAAAAAAACAACTATAACAGAAATATAAAAGAAAGTGTTTAGAGAGAAAGAAAGTATTTAAAAAGAGAGAAGAAATTTTATTGACCTATTTATAGATAAATAACTCCTTTACAAAATAAAAATAACACTTAAAAATTAAATAAATTATATATTAATTTAATATGATTTACATCAAATTTAAATATAAATAATATAAATAAATATTTATAAAAATATTCATAACAATTCAATCATTTTTAAAAAAAAATCTCATCAATTTAATCTAAAAATCTTTCCTAAATAAATCTGGCCCACAAGCCGAATGCCCGGCCTAAGAGAATTGCGACAATGTACTCCTTCACTATAGTATTCCTTTATTTTTTTTGCTTTATGACCATTTCTTTGGATATGCTTCCACGTTAAGTAAATTAGCGAAGTTACCTAATTAAGAATATTCCTTTCTTCGCCTTTACATGTGCAGCTATGGAAAAAAGAATAACGAAAGCTCAAAAACCTCCAAAGTTCAAAAGATAATAGCTGTCCAAGAGTTCAATTCCAAACAAAAGGTTCAAATTATTAAAGAAAATAAACAAGCGAGAGGGTAAAAACAAGTAAAAAAAAGTTTAACAGGCGACAAGGAGAACATTTCTTCAAATTGGGAATGAGGGTTTAAATTTTGAACACGTCCCGTTGGATTCAACGTTCAATGAGCTGCAAAGTTAGGTACGGTCAGAAGCAGGCATCCAGCAGGCAGCAACAGCAAAGGGCGGCCAAACTGCACAAGCAAACAAAAAACGAAACCATTTGTTAAGCCGCCCATATACATTACTTTCTGGCTAAGCAATTTGCATTATCTTGAACCCCACCATTTGACAGAACTCAACTGCAGCAAATACAGTGATACAGCAATAACACTAGCCAAAACTAACATCGAATTACAGGGAAGGCTTCCCAAGCTGTCATAATTTACCTCATCCGAACCTTAATTTTATCAAAAACCTGTCCCGAGCTACCTTGATATTCGCAAAGAGTCAAAATCGATTTTTGACCGAAAACAACCTTATCTCTAGGCAAACGAAATAACCAAAACACCCTACATCTTCACTAAGAGATAAACGAGGGGTAGGTTTTAGGGTCTTTTCAAGACTTTGACCAACCAACTGCTCGGCTGACCATGCGAAACCCCAACCCCGTTTTTTGTTGGAAACCGTGATGGTTGTGTCACAAAGACGACGATTTCCTACCCCCGAAAAACACGCTGTCAGTTACAATTCCTGCGTTATCATCCTACAGATCTGACATGCCATATACGGTAGATATACTCGTACAGTTGTACTACACACATGTATGGGTATACGCGTTGAATGGGAGAAAGAACCTACCAGCCTTCTAAGAAACCAGAACTTTGCTTTTGCTGAGGAGGAGGAGCCTGAGCATACTGTGGAGCGTACGGAGGAGGATATCCCTGCTGAGGATAACCCTGGGGGTATCCTTGTGGGGGATAACCCGGTGGTGGATAAGCATCCTTGGGATATCCTTCTGGTGGATAACCTATTATTCAATCAGACAAACAAAAAAAAAATTTCAGATCCACCAGATCCATTCAATCAGAATGCAACAATGCAAAAAAAAAACATAAATCCAAATGATATAAAAACCAAAATAAAGAAGAAACAAAAAAGAAAACATAAAGATTTGGTGAGAGAAAAGAAAAAAGCCCAGATGATAACAGAAACTGAAAACTCAGGATTGACCTTGAGGAGGAGGAACACCAACAGGAGGCTGTTGCTGATTGTAATAACTCATAGCTTCTTGTGTTGTTTTGCTGATACTTTCAGTAAGAAGAGATCTTTTTCTGGAATGGAAGATTTCTTTTTCTTTTCTTTCCTTGGACAAACTTTTAAGAGAGAATGGAAGAAAGAGATATCGCTCTGCGCAGAGACAGAGGCAAATTGGATATTTTTATATACTCTGGAGGATTTTCAATGGAAATCTCTACTCTTCATCATGGATGTGGACGCGTGTCCTTTATGGGAAATACAGCCAATCAATAGGGAGAAATTTGCAAGAAATATAATCTTTGTTGGTTTCTTTTTTAAATTTAGGCAAATTGCGCGTCCAATGCGCGTCAAGATAACTACCACCAAAACTTATTTCTTATAAGCACTAATTCCTAAAATATAAAAGTCCAATTGAAAGTTTTGTTGGACAATGTTTTTATTTTGGTACAATTCCTTCGTAATGGTTAATCTCAACAACGTGATGGAGGAGACCAACTAAGATTTTAACTCAATAAATTGATACAATATTGAAAACTTTTAAAGCCGGAGAATTCTGGGGGAAGAGTTTTATTTAGATTTGAATTCATGCTCGTACTGGGAATATAAACATTTATAATGGACCAAAACTTTATATTAAAAAATTATTAATTACTGCTGCACAACTAGTTATCAACGACAACACATCATAACTTACTTTATAAGTCTCTTATGTAAGGATTCCTTCGTCTACTCGGTTAGTCCCAGTCTCATGAAGGTCTTACCCGGTAGCTCATCTCCTGTTATTTTTTGTATGCTGCAGGTTTTTATGCTATGCGGGGCCTTTCATCCCCCTATTTTCAATCTAATTATACTTTCTCTTGCTTCTCAGAAAAAAAAAACCTTTATTTAAAAGTCAATACAGTTTTTATGTGTATTATATTAGTATTATTTTTATACAACAAATTGATTCATGATTGACTAATGCCTTTTTATTGTAAGGTATTAACTCTTAGTCTACCAAGCACCCATCACGATTTGTTCAATTGTGATTTCAAATTTACAGTTAAGCAAAATTTCGCACTCCTCGTATTAAATCCTTTTTTTTTATTGGTGTTTGGTATAAAGGCTGCTTTTGAGTCATCCCTGTTTCTTTCTGTTGTCCCTGTCACGTGGAGCTGGCTTGGGCTTTTCATTTTAATTTACCTTATATTACGTGAACAACAATGAGGGGCTAATCATGCCAGTGCTAAACACACGTGAGACCACTAACTCAGCCCAACTTGATCGTGTTATTCCACCTTTGTGCAAGTTCAGTTTTTCTTCTTTCTTGATTCAAACAAGTGCAAAGATAACACAATTACAATCCAGTGTTCTTTTCACCCGATTGGAAATAGTGGTCCATTTAATTTCTCGGACATTAAAAATGGTTGTAAATTCATTTATTCAATCCATCGTTGTTAAAATTTAATGAAATTTGTCACCTCAAAACTTTACTTGGACATTTATGCGAACGCTCACACCATAAAAGTAAGCTAAGACATTTGAATGTTCAGGTTTTGACTTTCTTGGAACGGATGTTTATGTCATATAAAATTAATTTTTACTAACTATCTAAGAATTAAATTTTAAAAATTAAAATATTACACAAATCACAAATAAAATGATGCATTTTGCTCCACCGTTTCTTTGAGATATATAGTGTTAAGCATATTTTATTTAGCATACGGTCACTACTTTATCAAAAACGCATGTTGCTGTATAATTTGTTGGTAGATGTACCATGTGATAAAAATAAAGGGAAAGCCCCACTGTCGTACCATTTTCAATTTCCCCTGGAAGGGGGGAGGCATATTCGCCGTGATAATTTTTTCCTTGTTTTGAAGAAAACGATACCATTGAGGAACAAGAGCCTGAGCTATGACGGCATAAAACTGTCAATCCATCGTCGTGTTTTGTCGACTTAGGCATTGCGCTGTTCACTAACTCCCCTTTTGTTTCGTCTTTTTCCATTTGGGGTTCTTTGGAATCAACACAAACCGTTGCAACGGAGACAATCAATGCCCGCATCTTTTTCAAGGGGAGAAGGGCAGGCTGCCTTAATCTGGCATGTAATTGATTTTACAGGTGCTTGCAGATAATACAAAATTAAATCAACGTGCATTTATATTGACTTACGAAGGCGTTGCCTTCAGTCATCGGCTCCGGCGCCCCCACGACTATTCCTATTGGAAATAGAAGTTCGAATAAATTACATTTAAAGCTTTTCAAAAAAAAAAGAAAAAAACTGAGTATTTAATAAAGTTCATTTTCGACTTTTCTACAAGTAAAAAGCTAATTTATCAAAAATATTTGACTCAACTTTCTGAAACCCATACCTGATTTGCTTTAGAAGAAAAACCAACCACTAAATCACACTATATTTTTTTATAATAGTTTTGTTATATATGGACATGATCAATCATTTTATATATTAAGACAACTCAGTTATGCTCATTATATCTTAAAAAATATAAAAAAAATGTAAACTAGTATACGATTGCAATTGACTCGGTATTTATATATAAGGAAGTCGGAGATGTCCAAATGCCATAATTAACAGCTGTAAAGAAGGGGACCGGGCATGAGTCAAGTGGTCCAATCCATCCCATTTTAGAGCTGAAAGTACTGCAGGGTTAGGAATACGCTAGGCTATCCTATTTGATACTTAAAATCCATGTTTAACCAAATTAAATTTTGGATTAATTAGATTTGAACTAGTCAATTAATCTGTCATGTCACTAAAATTATTAAACAATCATGCGAGAATGATATATAAAAGAGTTTCCCAACAACCTTTTGTTTGGACTGATTAATCAAACATAGAGTTTGCGTGTTAAGGATAAAAGCTACTCGTATTATTGTAAAATTAATAAATTCCTTGTTGGATGCATTGCATAAATTAATTATGATGGTAGAATTGGAGTTAAAAGAACGCAGTCAAAACCAGAAATGCAGGGTTTAAGGTTTAATATCCATTGCAAAAGGTGTCCATCACTTGCTAAATTGGAAATTCAAGTTTTTGTCAAATTCGGAAATTGTTATGCATATAAAGTAAAATTATGAGATATTTATTAGAGTTTGTCAATGGAATGAAATAAGAGATGTCATAAGGTAATCTTAATTATGAACAACAAAATTGATGCATAGGTAATTCAAATGAAAACAAGCAATCGAATGTTAATTCAAATTTTACTTTAACCATTAAAAATCTTTAAAAAAAAAATAACAAGTCAGTATTATATATATCTATATCACGAATTTAATTATTTGATGGGTTTTTTTGCAAATATGATTTTTTAATGTTCTGGTAAGATAGTTTCTAATTAGAATTGTATTGCGATTCCATTACCTAGTTAGAATTATATTATAATACTATTAATTAAATAAAGTTAAATTATGAATAGGATTAATTTTTTATGTAAATATAATTTAAAATTACAAGAATTTTTTTTTCAAAAAAAAAAATTATGCTTTTTGTCTCACTTAAATGCAGGGACAAATTAGCATATATATCTTAGCTTCAAAGGCATGTATTGCCGATGGAGGCAACCAAAAGCAATCGTCCAAAAATTAATGGTTTATTCCTTTCAGGTTTCGCATTGCATCTTCATTGATAGACACAGAGAAAGCTCGACAGGATTAACCACCGGTTATTAAAACAAAAAATAAAAAAAAAAAAGTAAATAAGTCACTTGAATAAACCAAAAAGAGATTTCGTAATCGATGAGGTCTCATTTTCAGCTTGTTTGGACCTGCAGAAGAATGAATGGACCAAAATCCTATATGCGTCCACCTCAAACAAATTTGACATAATTGCATAAGATAATGGCACCATAGGCTCGTGTCATCATTTCTGAAGCCCATCATGAACCAGCTAAGCCCGCTTCAAAGCAAACCAGGGCCATTGTGACATTATTATTTGTTTGTTCTCCGTCTCGGTTTGTTTATGGAATTTAACTAGTAGTTAATTATACAAGATTTGTTCTTTAACATGATGTTGAGGCATACTGGTAAACGAACTGAGAATTTGGGTATGATATTAAATATTTTCTAATTGAATTTTTGTCTTAAATATTTTCTTATATTATATAAGAGTGAGTAAAATTGAATTGAACCAATAATTTAACCAAATCGAAAATAATTTAAGTAAAATGGTTCAATCTGATTGATCTATTGAATCTATTGGTTTAAAAAATATGATTCAATTAGTTTATTTGATCAGTTCTTGGTCTTAAAATTTTTGAATTGAACGAATCAAAAAATCAAATTAATATTATATATTAAATTTATATAAAATATATATTTTCATCTTACTAACTTGATGATATGGATGGTTAATTGTCTTGTGTTAAATGATTTTATTATGTAGATGGTAATTTTCTTGTTTTTATTATGTTAAATTTTGAATGTTAGAATTTAGAGGTTAAAACTCTTAAATATTATTTTGATGGTTTATGTGAAAGAATATAATTACGTGAGTGAAAGGACAAATGTTATACTATTTTTTAATATTTAAATTATTTGTATATTTTATAATTACGGATGAGATTTATAAATTTCAATATTGTAACTTGTAAAAATCAAAAGTAACAAAATTTCGATTCTTTTAATCCAAAATTAAACCAATCGGTTTGATCAGTTCGATCTTCATTTAAGTTTGATCAGTTCTCTAAAAATGTTTGATTTATTTGATTCTCTTGGTTATTGCGGAACAAATTGACCAATTACATACCCCTAATATGATATAGGTCAAATGTAATGTTCTTTTTTTTTTCATAATTAAGAGTTGTTTAAATTTAATATTATACATAACAGTGAAGGTAAGATTAGAAATCAAGGAACTAAAACGCAATATGCACACTATCCGTATCCCATGAGCTTTCACCCTAGAAAGGGGCAAACGAAGAAGAAAAATAATGATCATATCTTGGCATTTGAGTACTTGGGTCATGCAATTTCTTAGAATGTTTTAATTAACTAGATGAAGTCTGTAGATAATTCAGCTCACTTGGTATCACAAAAGTAGTTTTCCTTCCCCTTTCAAACATTTATGTAATGGCATATGTTGCAAGACCTCCACCTGATTCACAAATCAGGAAATAAAACAAATCTCAAATCCCTCTAAGCTAAGATTAATTGTCTTTCCTTCCATATGAAAGGCAGCCAACTTTTCTATCCTTTGAGCATTGGACCTTGTCTTAATGGTTGAAGCATCTTTTCTTTTTCTATCATTCA